TAAAAAATTCCAAAAATTAGATTTTTTTGAAAACTGCATAGTAGAAGAWKAAAAAGGAGGTGAGAATGATGGCGAATCACCCTGTATGTGCCAATATACAAGTAGATCGCCTACTCAAACTACTAAATATTTTTTTTTATATAGTAGGTATGCAATATTGCAATGTCGTTTCAATCGGTCGTTTCGCGAGTCGGCTGGCCGAGGTCGTGGGACATAAATGAAAAAATAGAAAACCCCACGAGTCCAAAGACGGAATTGACGATAATAAAATCGAGAAAAATAGAAATAACGAAACGAACACCACAGCGGCGTCAGGTGTGCGGTACAACGGCCGTGCAGGTGGTGTGAAACGCGATTATTAATGGAGGTACTGCCCGGCCGTACACGCATTGTTCTACGGCCGTACCGTGCGACTCGCAGATATCATTGTGAGCAAGGTGTATTAATACACATTGATGKTGAGATGGTTGTGGACAGCCGCGAGCCTGTTACAGTTACAGCCTTACAGGTGAGGGTGACTGGTGAAGTGGTGAGTTTAACTTGAAACCACGTAGAGCAGAGTCAGACAGTCGTCGAAACGGGCGGCGTAGGAGACATTGTCTTGTGCTGCACTTGTCTTGGCGGCTTGGCGCGTTCCCGTCCGGTTTGGCACGCGGCTTTCTCAGTTAGCGCTCTCTACCGACAANCTCTGCTTTGGAATATGAAATTAAAACTCTATATTGTCATTCCAAAAAGTAAAAACTTAAAAATTATAAGATTAAAAATTATTTAAAAATATGATTTTTTAATACAAACGTTGGTTTTTTAACAACTTGAAAAAATATTTTGAAAAAGTAAATACTTTTCGAGATAATTAGTGTAGCCCCTTAAAAGAATCACCCTGTATAACTAACGGGTTACACAACTCACAAGTTMACAGTTAAAGAGTTTAAAACTCTGTGAGCCCTAGTAACCTTTACTGATTTTAAATGAAATAAATAAACTAGGTCTTAATTTTTATAAAACTATATTTATGGAGGGGGATTGGGGGATACACCTCCATTGATGTTTTTTTAGGTATTAATTATTTTAGATTATTTTTTGTGGTTTTACCATTTATGTAAATAGAGTAAGAAAAAATTTATAATTTAATAGTCGACAAACAGTATATTTACTTTCTCATCTCTTCATTGTTATAKTGCATTTGCATCACTGCCACCGCTTAAAGTTTGTAATATTCAAGCTATACATTAAATTTGTAATATGAAAATAATATATTTAATTTAATAATTTATTTTAGTCTTTAGACTAAAATACCAAAATAAAATTATATATTATCATCGAATTATATTTTAGCAATATAGGTATAGCACGTAATCAGGTTATCATCAGGTCGATAGTATCGGAATTCTTATTTGTCAGGAACCAAAACATTATTCATATTTTTAAACGAAAAACTATAGCTGATTGTAATTAATATACATATATTTTATCACATACTTYCATATTTATGTATGTAAAGTAAACGTATATATACATATTTATTTTAACTTAGTAGTCAGTACTTACTACCATTAATTGTATATACTATATACACTTTAGAATTTCTGGGTAAATATACCTACATAGGCACAAATAGTGTTTGAGATTTGGGGGTAGCTAAATCTCAGGTTTATGTTGGAGACTTAATTGTCACTTATAATGTATAGTGTATGTATGACATAAGTTTTTTTAGGGGCTTAGGGCTTCCCCTTATTAGCATTTAGCACCTATGTGTCCGGGTGTGTTTAGAAATTAAGATAAATTTGTGACTCGTTTTTTTTTTTTAACCAAATTATCTGATGTATTTACTTTTAAATACAATATGTATATTTTATGTATTATATTTTTTTCTTAAAATTTTTAGAAATTAGAAGTTAAAAATTGCCTAAAAACAAATAATATCCTAAAAAGTATTTCAACATCAAAAACCTCGAAAATTGTCGCTACAAAAGATTTTGTTAGCAAAGTACCTAAATGAGTATACCTAAAAGAGTAAAAGCTGAAACACATTATATCGCGTAAAAAATCGTGTCAAGCATTCTAGGAAAAATATATAATTGCATTTTAATCGGAGGTTTAGTAATAAGGAGTATATTTTTCTTGAGGTTCTTCGATTAGATTATTGCATACGTGATATATCGATTGTCAAAGAATGGAGAGGTAATAAAATTTTCATGCGTCCTAGTGTACTGCAGTTTATATATTTATCTTGAGCGGCTTTCGTTGTGGGACTTAATAAGGCAAGAATACTATAACCAGTATCGTAACTAGGGCTTAAATGTTGGGACTGTACCCCACACCTGGTAAGATGGGTCTGGTACTTCAATACTTCATGAAAAGTAATCTGGGGAGGCGTTGCCCCCACACCCCATATATATTTATTTAAAAGCATACAAAAATAAAAAAACAAGTATTAACTCACTCGAGTTTCATTTTTGATTTTTCATAATAATATCAAACTGTCTGTATTCATAGTTTAGTTTATAAACTGTAAAATTGTGTATAATAATAACCATACCCATGTATTGACGTAAAAACGAATACAGGCAATATGCATGCATACAGCTAATGATATTTACAATTTACTATTTGTCCATTTACCATATTTATCATACCTAAGTAATATAAAAATATTTATGAACTTCAAATAAAAATTAAATAGCTTATTATTTTGCCCCAAAATTATTTTTCGTGTGCGCTATTAGTTATTACAAGTATATTGAGCCAAAACCTAACAAGACTGAGCCACCCCTCTAGTAGCGCTTATGGCTATATGCTATAACGGCATTATATGGAATAAATCACTTAAATCAATGCCATTTATGTTTGTATGAAAAAAAAAAACTAGAAAAGCTCGGTCGCGTGATTAGTGATAGTAAAAACTAAAAATCTAGAAATCGAAGAAAAATAGCCGTCATAGGTGTATAAATTTCGATAAACTTACTTAAGTGACGCGAGTAAACATCATTCAGCCTTGCTRTATAATAAATAATAATATCATACAATATATATTATGCATTTGRGCATTTGGCTTCAGTCCATAGTCATCATAACTTAAAAAATAAAAATCATACGTACTAGGTATTACATAATACATTATACATATTATTATAAGATATCAATTTATWAACTGTACGGTGCATATTATATAAACWCAAGCTCAATGCTGTATAATTTATTATTGTTATCGTTTAACTTTAAATCCTAAATACACGCAACCACTGTAAGTGCTCAAATTATATTATTGTGATCSTCGTCTATACAAGAAATCGACAAAAAACAAACCTATACAAGCCCAATGGGTACATAAAATTTAGCGTGATTCACCAAGCATTATGAACAAACYCCATTTTTTTATTTAATAAAGAATTTATTTGAATTTTGATTTTTGGAATTTTTAAATAATATATTTGAATGCTATATTTTAAAATTCTTGAGATATTTTGTACAACAATACAGTATCCTGTGAGGCAGACGATACAAATTTTAAATTTTATAAATGTTTTATCTTTAAAACGAGAACCTCCATTTTTTACTACAAATTATTTACTACCTAATGGCTAATTTGTATTTACTTAAAAATGTTGATGTGTATAAGACGAAATTCGAATTAGTA